CACACACACACACACACACACACACACACACACACACACACACACACACACACACACACAACAATCACATTTTACAGGGTATCTGATTGAGTCAGATTTTTGTTCAGATGTTACATCATATCCTTAAAAATGTATTTAGTGTGTCATCAAATAGAAAAACTTTCTAGATGCTCCTAATATCTTCTGTATATAAAAGACACTGTTCAGATTGTGTCTTTAAAGCTAAAGAGAGGCCATGCTTATCTTTGAAAGACCATAACTATACCACTCCAAATAATATCTTCTTGGAGAGGAGGAATATACAAATAGGTTGTAAGTAACCGGAGCTACTGTCTTGTTTCCATGTGGTGAGAGGATGGAAATTAGCTGGCTTCAAGTTGCCTCAGAGCGTTGTTGACATTTAAAGGTCTCTCTGGTCACTCTGGACCAAAACAGAAGAGGTAGAGGACCAAAGAAAAACAATAAGGAACCCAAGAGTCCGGAAAACAAAGGGGTAGTTCTAAGGGTCTGCCTGGTAAGACAGATGAGCCATAGGGACCGGCTGTAAGGCAGAGAGAGTGCTTTGGAGGGCCGACCCCGGTGGAGAGGACCTTTTTAGAAACTTGACTGGGGGCTCACTTGGGACGGACAAAGGCAATCTAACACCCATGAGGAATTTTTATTTTTATTTTTTAGATAATTTTGGTTCTGTTTTTCAAAGAAACATGTTGTGTCATTATTTTGTTTCACATTTTTCATTTACTTATTTATTATCTTCTGTCCCTTGAAGTGGATATCAGGTTTTATTTGATCGCAGAATAATGATGATAGGTGAGCGAGGCAGAGAGGGTTTTCCTCAGAACTGGAGTCATACTTAGAGCAGTCAGCAGATTAGGGCTGCAACTAACAATTATTTTGATAGTCGACTAATCTGCCTAATTTTTCTTCTATTAGTCGATTAGTCAACTATTATTTCAGCAACTCTTATGTCCGCTTCCTGTGGGCAGACCTCATGTTCTGGCTTTAGTGCCTCACCTGCTCAAGTCTGCCCACCCATGAATTTCACCCTGTTATCTCATGACCCAGAAAACATTTGAATTTGAAAAAAATCTGATTTATTTTTAACATAAGACCGTCAGAATAAAAATGAAATAAATGAAAATATTAAGTAATACAAATTTAAGTGCAAGTAGTATTTAAACAAAATTAATGATGTGCAAACAGGAAACTAAAATGGCTTCTGTCCACAAGTTCGAATATGTCATGGATCGCTGTGTGGCAAGCAGGAGGAGGACCCAAATGCAAAACTCACAGACACGGGGATGAACTCGAGAAACACAGCTTTAATGCTGGCACGGCAGAACACAGGAAATACAAAACTAAACTGGGAAAAGTAAACTAACACTCGCAGGTAGACACAGGAAGATCCACACAACATGAGGGAGAACGCGACACAGCACTGAGGGAGACGCAGACATAAATACACCAAGGGTTAACGAGCGGAGTGGGAGCACATGGGGAACACAGGTGACACTGATAATAATCACGAGACATGGCAGGAGTGAACACAACACTGGCGGGGAGACGGGCGAAGCGAAACAGGAAGTACAGAGGTTCAGACAGGAGGAGAGAGAGCACGAGTAGAACACCAACATAACGGGCAGGGGAGACACGGAATAAACACGAAAGGGGACGAGGGCTCATGAATACACAGAGGGGCACACAGGGGGTGAGAGTCATAAAGGGAAAGCACTCAGGAAACAACACAACAGGGCAACTCAGGAAACAGAGCCTAAACAGGGAACTGAATACAAAGATACATGAGAATTAAGAATACTGGGCCAACATGGCCCAGGACCGTGACAGCATAAAGTTTCAAATTAATTTAAAAAGATTTTATTTTCGAGTTTAGAGATGATTCAGTTCATTAATTTCCGATTGCAGTGAACATGCTCTGGAGTGAGGCTTGCTCTTATCTTTGAGATGATGTTCCCAGCTGTTGATAACTATGCTAAAGATGCTCTCTATCATGACTTCAGCCATTTGAAAGGTGCATGAGCTTCTCAAATGGCTTTAGTGTTTTATAGCCCAACCAGAAGCCTTGGATGAACCGGGATGTTCGTCTCCTCCTGAAGGCCCACAACACTGCCTTTAGGTCAGGAGATGCACACGCCTACAGTACAGCCAGGGCTAATCTAAAGAAGGGCATCAAAAAAGCCAAACACCATTACAAAAAGAAGGTAGAAGAACACTTCTCCAACTCCAACCCCCGACGCATGTGGCAAGGACTCCAGACCATTACAGACTACAGGACCACCAAACCCTCCCCGCATCCTCTGATGTCTCCTTCCTCAATGAGCTCAACAACTTTTATGCTCGTTTTGAGCGAGGGAACCCCACAACCACAACCAAAACAGACATGATGCCAGACCACCAACCTTTGACTCTCTCCCCCACCAATGTAGGAGCGGTGCTGAGCAGGATCAATGTCCACAAGGCTGCAGGTCCTGATGGCATCCCCGGGCGTGTTCTCAGAGCGTGTTCTGGGGAGCTTGCAGGAGTGCTCACAGACATATCCAATCTGTCCTTGGCCCACGCTGTGGTACCGGCCTGCTTCAAATCCACCTCCATCGTCCCGATACCCAAAAACTCCAACCCATCTTGCCTCAATGACTACCGCCCAGTAGCACTCACCCCCATCATCGTGCTTAGAGTGCTTAGAGCTAGCACACTTCAAATCCTGTCTCCCCCCCACCCTGGACCCCCACCAATTCGCATACCGCCAGAACAGGAGCACAGAGGATGCAGTCTCCATCACACTGCACTCTGTCCTCTCACACCTGGACAACAACACAGAACAGCCAGAATGCTGTTTATAGACTTAAGTTCAGCATTCAATACAATCCACCC